TCTTTGTTGGTTTTCCTTTATTTGGTCAAACTTCCACCACATACACGTGAATCCCAGTAAAAAGACGACAAAGTCTTTTATAAGTTTAAACGTTTTTATGAACTAATTGTTTTCATTATGCCAGATTATGCCAGCACCCCTACGTCCAGCCCCCACGGTAAAGCTGTCAGATTTTAGTTAGTTATTTTTAACTGGGCTGCAGATGTGAATTAGCCTTTTAGCAAAGTCTTTACATCAAACTGATTATTGATGTGATGTTTTTCACTATTTTTGTCTATTTTCTATTCTGAAAACTAACTTTAAAACTAATCAGATTATTCAATTATCAACAAATTGTTAATTGCAGCCCTAATAGTGACAGACTGACTCTTTAATATCCACTAGGAAGTTGTTTGATTAAATTTGTCACACAATATGTTGAAACTTACACAGAATTAGTTTCCATCACAATGAATTAGTAAAAAAAAAAAAAAGTAATTAGATACAATATACAGTGACTGTACATATTTCATTATAAATAGTCCATTTCTGATGTTTCAAGGTGCTTTGTGACGTAGTCTAATATCATTTTTTCATTCCCAGAATCCTTCAGGTAAAAATGAGATCCATCGAGCATCCTGACGGTGAAATCTCCCGACGTGATGCTTTTCCACGCTGTTGATAAAACACAGGAACATGATTAATGACATATAAACATGGAGACGACTTACAGACAACAGGTTTCTTTCTCTTGGACACTTTATGTTATTTGGCACATCCTTTAACTCCTATTCAGTCTCCTAAACTAGATGAATCTGCAGAGACCAAATGTTGCGTAATTTCTGATACTGAGCTTCCAGAAACCTGCATAAGCTCTGCCTATAATAGAGGTAGAGTGAGTGTAAACATCAGAGGACTGACCTTGTAAGTCATGAGGAATGTCATCCTTTCCATCAAAACAAGTGACGGGGCAGGAGAGGAGTGGACTGTCGGGCTTGTTACATCTGCAGGAAAGACAGCAACTTCAATGAAATGAATGGTTAAAAAACTGCTTATATTAAGTAAGAAAGTAGTCAGCGCACCTGTAGTTCTCCACAACGTGCAGGTCGGCCTTCAGGGCGGGAAGGAAGAGCTTCAGGACTTCGGGGTTTGCCAGCAGCTCAGGAGGAGTTCCTCCAATCGAACTCATCCACATGAGAAAATCTTCATCGGATAAGTCGCTTCTCTTTGGGGCTTTTATACGCGTCTCTGACTAAAAGATAAAAGATAGTGTGTTAATGGTATATCATCAACAACAAGGACTCAGAACTATCAGTGTTTGTTTGTTCCAGTTGTGTACAGAAGGAACCAGATGTTTTGGTCCAATCATCAGGTATGATCTATGTAATAAAGTGAGTGCATGTGAAATCTACTTCCATCTCAGTTTACAGGTTTGTTTTGCTCATTATGCACCTGCCATTTAACATTTAATGGTGTATTTCAAGATCTTCCTCTATATATTACCAAAGATATTAAATGAAGACGTTGTTGACAGTGGTGGATGTTGGAGGGCGTTGAACTTTGTTATTTATCTTTGGGCAGTAAAGACATCACAACTGAACCGAATGACCAAATTATTAAAATGATTTCAAGCAGGCACATTTGCAGCCTCACAATGCAGGTTCAGTTAATTGGTCTCGGATTATTTTTTAATAAATAACCAGTTTATCCAAATTGCTTTTATTTGCAGAACATCATAAGGAATATAACTCTCATTGTGAGCAAGTAAGAAATATAAAATATTATGGCCTGTAATTAGTATTTAGACAGCTCGACATGGGAACAAATTGAACTGAAAATCTGGACATTAGTGCACTCAGGGGCGGATCTAGAGCAACAATCACAGGGTGGCAACAAGGTGGTATGAAGACTTTAACGGGTGGCTGATTTAATCTATTATATATCTATTATAGTTTTTTTTAATCATTCATCTAATATTTTCTTGAAAAGACCCACAATTAAGATATTTTAACAGAAAAACATTACATTATTGAGACTTCAGACATGTTTCAAAATACTTCTTTCATTAAATTTAAGCCAATCATTTAGTCTAAAACGTGTCCATAGCAGATTATTCATTTATATTTCATAATTTCTTATTTTCTTTCTTATTTTTCAATTTCATAATGATGGCTCCTATTTAGGTGAGCTAAATATGCAACACAAGTCTTACATGTCACTGATTGTAACACGGGGCTTTTATCCTTTGCTTGAATGGCCACTCTTGGGGCATAAATTAAGAGTATACCCCCCCCGCTCCCCTCCATACACCCACTGTACCTGTGGTTAAACGTAATAAATGAACTCACATATGGTGCAGAGGCACCAGACAGGAAGATGTGAACCGGTTCGAGGTTGTGCAATCTCTTCAGAGCATCTGCCACAGCGAAACTCGTGAAGGCACCAAAACTAAAAACAGATCAGGACAGTGCGAACGTTAAAAGAAAAGAAAGTTGTACGTGGTGGAATAAAAACAGAGAAACACAAAGAAGCTGTGATAACTGAGCTGTGGTGTCATTACAGATATGATTCTACCGTCATCGTACCTGTGGCCAAACAGAGCAAACGGCTTCTCCTTCAGCAACGGCAACAACACGCCGATAACCTCGTCCACAATCTGCTGCATGTTCTGAAAGAACGGCTCTTTGGCTCGACTCTCTCTGCCTGGCAGCTTGACAGCAAACACTGAAAGAGACAGAAGGAGGGTTCCGAAACACTGCAGGTAGAAATATCATCACACCGTAACATGTGTACACTTTGTTCTCACAGTGCAAGGACATCAAGTTCAAGTTCCTCCATCATTTGTTTTCTTTTTACTGTAGGTGAAAGGTTACATTAACAGTTACAAACCTCAGAGACAGTTTGAATATAGAGCTTAACAGTGCAGAGTGAAGCACTTTCAGGGCTGCACGATATTGTGATACTGCTATATGATTCACAAGATCATTTTTGAATCACAATCTTTCATTTTCACTGAAAAAAGAACTAATAAAATTAAGATGTTGTGACATTTTTGGGCTGGAGAACAAAGTTTGTAGGCCAGGACATCTCTACTGCTCTACATTATAAAGCTGCTTTGTCACCGATTTAAAAAAATAATAATAATAATTACAGCTCCTGTGATTTAGATATTGCACCTGGCCATATTTCTGCAGCCCTCAGCACTCATACCACCTCCTCCAGGTGCGTTACCTTCTATGGAGCTGTTGAGGACGTTGCCCCAGCGTGCGTAGTGTATGGACCCTCCACCTGCCCAGGGGAAGCATATCAGCCTGCTCACGGCATCCGGCCTTCTCTTGAAACAGTTGATCACCTTCTCCATCTTAATGCAACAGAAAGGGGCGAAGAGCTAACACTGATTCACATCTGCAGGGCCTGAAGTCTGTGCTCCTACTTCTGTTGGAGGAGAAAACACACATCAAGCAACAGAACAACTCACCTGGAAGCAAAGGTTGTTTAACACTATGTCAGGGAGGGTTATACAGATGTTAAGGCACACCTGTTTGTTGCTTTCAGCTCCATCAACTTCTAGAAAAAGCAGTGGTTGCCCCTCATGCTGAAGTGAACTAGTTCCTGGTTATTTTCTTCTGTGGTTTCATGTATGAGAGCTGTTGTAGAAGTTCTATCTGTGGATTCTGGAGACATCTACAGTGTGGAGTGTGTATGTCCGTGCACTCAGTTCAAACACTCATTAGACGCTGCGTCCTTTACCGGTTCCTGACGTGTTTGTGTAATAATGTTCTTGTGGTACCTGGATGGATGGACAGGAGTTTGATTCAACACAGGACGTAAATACAAACATAGAGAAAAGTTTCTCGGAAGTGACGTTGTTGTTCTACAGTTGGTATTTCCTGACGGGTTTCCCTCTGTAGAGGAGGAGGAGGAGGAGGGTTTGGTCAAGTTAGACAATATTAAACAGCGCAATACCGGAAATCCCACGACAAAAAATACTCAAGTAGAAGTCCAACATTCAAAATTGTATTCAAGTAAAGTTAGTTAGAAGCATTCAATCATCAGAATAACTTACTTAAAGTATCAAAAGTTTGTACTAATAATGTGTGTGTATATATATATATATATATATATATATATAATAATACAATGTATTATATTATT